AAACACACACACACACACACACACACAAGCACACACAGGTGCACATACATAACCCACACAAACAATTACACTACATACATATTATTGTAGTATACAAAACACTTGGGAAGCTGTCAGAGAGAGCACTTAAAAAACGAAGTAAAAAACAGTCGTATACTAATAGAGCCACGCATTTTTTAGCGGAATCGATATTGATAACCGATTACCAGTACCAATAATGGGATGTTTGTCTCAGTATTTGTCATGGCTCGAGTATTGCAGGTCTTAGTGCAAGAATGTCATTTCATGTGAGCGCCAGACCTACTTTCCACGTTGAGTGTGAAGTTTTCTATTAAGTTGTTGATCTACAACAAGCTGCACTGCAACCTTGTGCCAGGCATGGTGATCGAGATAGGAATGGTATAATTGCTTATGCACATTCCTTCTGTCGTAGAGTAACAACTCATTAGGCCTACCTATCTGAGTAATTATTATTGCCCTTTTTGGTGCTCTCGCTGCACTCTCTGAGCTCAGTTATTGAAAAAAAATAATTGTAATATAAAACGACACGAACACTCGTCAATCAGTTTGTAAGTTGACACAACCTAATAAATAGTTTTCGTGACGCCTAGTTTTACAAGAATAGTGAACAGCCTTTTTTGACAAAGACAATTAAACTATTGGATTTCTTTGTCGATTGAATTGTATCAATACCTTTAAAGAGTGAGCCGTTTTGATAGCTATTTTTAGAAAGTAAGTGGCTCTGATACTTTTCTAAATACACCCCCCCTCCCTGAACACACACACGCGCACACACACACACATACACACACACACACACGCACACACACACACACAAACACACACACACACACATATATTCACACACACACATGCACTCACACACAAACGCACAATTACACACAGACAGACACATGAACACAAACATACACACAAACAAACATGTACACACAAACAGACATATCCGCTCATTCTCTCCCATAAACACTCTGAAATAGCCCGGGGCATTAGAAGGAAAAAAAGTAGTTGGAGGTAAAAAAAGAGCTAAAAGATCGTAGTTGGAAGAGGGAACGAATATACCTCCAAGGAATACTGAGTATCGACGAAATTTAAACAGTTTATTTCAGTGTTTGAACACATAAACATTCTATTGGCTACGAAAAAAAAATCTGCCAACACCAGCAGTTAAGGTGAGTGGAAAAGGAGAAAGAAGTATCGATAAGATCCTTTGAGGACGGGAGAGGTTGCAATGACAGAGCTCAGAAAAAATCTCCCTTTCATCGGCTCCCTGGATTATTTCATTTATTTAAAAGTTCAAAAAAGTAGCCGGAGGGTTTCTTTAAGTCAACAATGTGCAAGGTTCACACCGCATCGACTGAAGCTGGACGTTGATAATTCTAAACAAATAACGTTGAATCGATTGAATTTCGATTTGGATGTCCTCAGGCAAAACAGGCGAGAGATGTTGGGAGCTGTTTGGTGGGGAAACAATGTACAGCACAACAAAAGACGAGCCTTGAAATCACGGTCGTTCCTTTCCAACGTTCTTGTTTGTTTATAATCAAGAAACAACATGAACTGGAAAAAACACACTCTCAAAACAAGCTGAACAAGAACACAATTAAAGTTTTAAAAAAAAAGGAAAAAAAAGAAAGAAAAGAGACCAACAAAAATGTACAACCCAATGAGAATAAACCAAACAAACAAGCAAACCCACCAATAGATATTGCAGTGTAGTTAGTGGTGCTTTAAAAGTTAATGATAGTCTCTGGTATCTAAAGAAAATGTCCTATTCATTCTGTCTTTAAAAAAGACAAACACACACACATGCATAAACACACACACACACACACACAAAATATAGTATATATTATTTTTTCTGTATCATGTGCTTATGCACAAACAGAGAGTGAGATGGAAATAGAGAGGGAGAGAGAGAAAGAGAGAGAGAGAGAGAGAGAGAGAGAGAGAGAGAGAGATAGATAGATAGATAGATAGAGAAAGTGAGAGAAAGCGATAAAAAGAGTGAGGGGGACAGGGCGGAG